CTACCCTTGCAATTATTAGATCTCTATAACATACAGTAAGTCCAACAGTCACTGTAAAAGTCTCTGTTGAAATGTCAGATTTTTGATGACCGAACAATAAGATTCTACAATTCTACCCATATAATATCCTTTTCCTAATCTGTTTGAAGGATTGCAGTGTTTCTGTTCTCTTCAGAGTTAGTCAATCTCTATCAAGCCTGTAAGTATTCAAACTCTTTGGGCAAGAAATCTCTTGTTCAACCAGTCTTTGATGCATTGAATATAATCGCTTTTCTCATGAAGCTAATCTCTAAACTTTACTAACGACAGTAGTCTTAAATCATGTGAGAAGGATTTCGTACAATTACAGGATTTAACAACGGAGTGATTTTCAATGGTGTCCAAAAATTGCTTTCTTTCGTTGATCTAGGGCAGTAAAGCCATTGATCGAAAGCAGCAGACTGGATGCAAACCTCAGCCTTCAACTGTGGTTGGAGGTGAGGTTAAATTCCTGTCGTATGGCTAGACATTGGGAGCTGGAAGATAAAGTAGGCTGCTACTAACTCTTGGTGCCATTCCTATCCATTGGATTCCATTTCATTCGTAATACTGTAGATGAATAATCCAAGTAGCTAAAGGAAAATTCTGGGTTCCATGCCTAATCCACATAACAGCAAACTGGGGACCTAGAGTACTTAAATCTACAATCCCCTAGCCTACAGGTACAGTACTACTATCCCAGCTGTATCTTGGAACCAGGGGTACAGTAGGCCTTTAAAATGGGTCATAAAGGCCGAATGTTGATTTAATTCTGAAGGCCATTCATGCAAGAAAATGTACTGTAGACACTTTATTTTGAAAATTTAACGTTTCCACTGTCCATGTAAAAGCCAACTCAAACAGTGTAATATGACACAGCCCGTCGGGGACAATCTTTACCTGTAGGTCGTGAGAATGTTATTATAATATGTTGCGATTGTTACGGACCGCAAAGCTATAGTATCATCTACGTTTAACCCACACACACCGATGTGACAAGAAATGGCATCAGCTGTGTCGTACGAGAATTCGAGTCAACTCAGCCCCAGTCAACTCAACCCCAAGTCAACTCGGCCCCAATTCACTGTACTTTGTAACAAAATAATTACCAAAAAACTATGCCAAAATTAAAATGTTTGAAATCATTGCCTTTGTTATTCCTTTTTCAATTACTTCCACGTTGTAAAAACTGCGATTTAATACACTTTAATTTTGACATACAGTACAGTAGTTCGGCTTTAAATTCAAATCTATTTTGGTAACTATTTCGTAATTAAACAGTAAATTGAAGCCGAGTTGACTACTTTGTTCCAAGTTGACTTGGGGCCGAGTTGACTTGGGGCCAAGGTTGCTGGGACTGAGTTGACCTGCTTTCGTACATAACTGTACTACTGTATATGAGAACTTTTTTGGCCTTTACATTTCCAGTTTTATACTGTTATAGGTGATTGGTGTTGGGCTATAACAAACTTTGGGTTTCTAGTGAAAGATGATAGTTGTGGGCTGTACACAAATGATTTTTATTCATTTCCGCTGGCCGTGACAAAATTTCTGTCAGTTCGTATAGGGCCAGCGGGCCGCAATTTTGCTCACCTGTGCTTTAAATTAAACCCCTAACTGTACTTGGGCCCCATATCTATGATGAAATTTGGGGCCCTATGTGTATGTTTATATTATGCCTACCTGTATGTTTTGTCATGTTTATGCCAAACCCTCTGCTAAGGGGCCCAACGTTATTGGCAAACACTTTCCTCTACACTGCCTATTGTATGGCCATGAGATTCTGTACTAATTTCAATATTAAAAGGAAAATGAGCTGACTCCCACTTTTCTTATGTCCGACATAGTATTAGTAGGACATTCTACTGAATTTTTTTTTAATGTTTTGTAGACTATAATGTAGTGCACCTTCTAATTTGAGGCATCTCTTATTCCGAGACCACTTTTCAAACAACCAAATAACAATAACTTTAATCTTTTAACACATTCTAATTAAAGACCGAGATAACCAAATTTTCAGGTCCCAAAGGTCAGGGGTGGGTTTACGTGGGGAGACCCAGGCTAGCCCTGGCAAAGAAAAAGAGAAAGGAAAAAAAAGGGCTCACCCAAAATGCCCCAGAGATTGTTTTCGGGTGTCTAAAAAACAAAAATTTGGCAGGGAATGCCCCTGGACCCCTTTGGGTGGTGTTAACTCGATCGGCCCCACTTTTATTAAAAGCTCCCCTTTCTTTGAGCCTGCCTCTGACATCATTGGGTCCGCCCTTTAAGGTGGTCTCAAATTAATGAAAGTAAAGAATTTTGTGGGGTTATATTTGACCTAGGCCTATCCTAGGCCCATCTGCTCTTCTGGACCTACTGTACCATTGTCCTCATTCGTTCGCTCACTCGCTCGTTGTGTCGATGAGCACAGTTGAAAGCATTCACTTTCTCGCCGCACACCGTATCCACGTCATCATGACCGAAATTCATATTCTTGTTGGTCGGAAAGAAATCTTTAAAAGCAAAAATGCAGTTGCATCACGAGCAAGCTGTCTGGGCAGTCATTAAAAAGGTGGTTAAAAAATCGATTATTTTGTGTTTATCAGTAGAAACACGCCCTATAAAGCACCTCTTGGCTAGGTAGTCAGGGACCATACCCATACGCAAATTCAGTAAAATGATGTTGCGAGGTATGGGTTATTCTCTTACCTTCACTTTGATCTGGAAAGCTCTGGTAAAATTGTCCAATGTACTGTAAATAATGCATGATTGAAATTAATACATTCTGTGTTGACTAATAATAATCTGTCCACTATTTGACATGTTTACTTTGTATCCAGTTTATATTAGCTTTCTGGTGAAAAGTGAATGAGGCAGTATTTGTCTTGTCAACAGATCGTTCTATTAAGTACGAGTGCGTACAATTTAAGGATTTTTATATTGAATGATGTAGCTACAGTATGGTGGGCAGAGGTACAGTAGGTGAGGAAACACCCAGCCTTGAGGTTTTCCGCCCAGTCTAAAAAAAGTACCATTGACCTCCACCCAGGTTTATTAACTCCCTTGCATATCTTTAAAATCCACTTAGAGTTTACCATCACCCACTCACCCTTAACCCTCTGGATACCGGATTCTTTTGTAGTGCAAACCCTTGAATACCGGATTCTTTTGCAGTGTAACAAGGTTTTTTGCGTTTTTTGAATATACTTCGTTCTGGTGGATTTTTGGGAAATTTCTGTAAATTATACAGAAAAATGTTTCAAAAACAAAGAAAGCTTATAGAATAAGCTTTCATTTGATGTATAATTTATATCTTTAGAATTTTTTTTTCATAATATAATATAATATAATATACTGTATATAATATAATAGAAATGACAGAAAAAGGCTACATATAAATCGTCAGCAAAAAAAAAAAAAAAAAAAATTATAGCCAAAAAAAAAAAATAAAAACAAATATAAAACATTCCTATTCCACACAGTTATATAATTTATTTACCCAACCATCCATAACTATAAGCACGATCTTTCCATTTAAAAGCATCGACCACCCTCACATTTCTAGGCCTAGGCTCATCTTCATCAAGAACATATCCGCCGTCAGAACTGCTTGAAGCCCCACTGTCATCATCGCTATCAGGCACGTCTAAATCTCGCACATCTAAAAACTTACCTTCATCGCTGTCTGAAAAATCAGGTCAATTGCTTCCTCAGCTGTGTACACATCTTGTGCGGCCATTTCGAAAAATTTTTGAAATTAATAATGATTTCAAATTGATATTTCTAAACATTTTTATATAAGCGCATGTGAGTTCTTCACAGATTTCGAAA